TACAGGTTTTAATTTATTAATTCAGAAAACCAGGAATCCTCAAGATGGATAGATATACGTTCACGGGGGTGGAATGGAACACGGCTAACAGCTTCTTGGGGTTCTGTAATACAATATCCTTTCAATGACTAAGTTATTTTAAGTGGTTTTTTTTCTACGGAAACTGAATAGTATGTTATTTTAATTGTCATTGATCTTTCCACCATTGCTTTTAATAAATAGAATATAATTTGTCAAGGGTTTGCTATTCTTTACATGTTCTTGAAAAGATCCAAATGTTCTTGACAAGTTCCATAAGTTCTACTATTAAAGAAAAAAATAACTGTGGAAATTAATAAAGACATTGAATTGATAATGTTTATCGATTTATCTTACGTTCAGCTACTAATGTCATCAAATATTATAGACACTTACAGACTTCATACACAATTATTTTTATTCATATATAACCAACCGACTGATAATTCAGAATCTGCCTATATTTCTGAGATGAGGTATTATGTACATTATTTACATTATTCGGACTATTGTCCTTATCTTTGTCGCCATATTTATTACAACGTTTCGGCTGTTGTACACACCGGCCTTTTTCAGGTGGTTGGAAGGTCGAACTGAACTCTTTATTTCGTTCACTGGAGTAGACTGTTCTAGTTCCACGTACCATGCTTAATGGATGTCAGTTATCAGTTATCTCCTGTTAATTTTCCCTCTGAAAGTTCTCCACTGCCTTAACCGGGTAATGAACTCACACTCTTTGGGTCCTGTCATTGGATCTAACCAGCGCCTTTATCCACTGTGCCAGGTGTCCTCAAGTTCAATACCCGGTTAAGGCAGTGGAGAACTTTCAGAAGGAAATTAACAGGAGATCACTGATAACTGACATCCATTAAACATGGCACGTGGAACTAGAAGTGAGCGAAATAAAGGGTTCAGTTCGATATTCCAACCACCTAAGAAGGCCGGAGCGTACAACGACCGAAACGTTGTAATAAATATGGCGACAAAGATAAGGACAATAGTCCGAATAATGTAAATAATGTGATAATTCAGAATTGTTAAATCATGTCCTATTTGATCTTCTGTACAAAAATAATTTGACAGTTAAAAAAATAAAAGAAAATTCTTTTAAAAGTATTTTGATGCGAAAAAATAGCATTAAGCACTGCATTTTCGATTCTTCAATTCTTTAATTAATAAAAAAAAAGTCGATATCTTTTCTCATCAGACACCGAAAGAATTTCAAAATCTTACAGAAATATTACGAGTAAAATTTTCAAAATTAAATATTAATTGTAGATTTTTACCTGTCAAATTTGAAAGAAAATGTGTTTTACTGAATTATGTAAACACTAAATCGAAAACAAAAACAACTTTGTGCGTTTAACTGAATTTTTATAGGGTCTCGGGACAAATTTGGAAGACATTCTGATTTGATATTACAAAAGTTTTACACTGAAATAATATCTTTAGTTTTTTCTTTATAAAACTATAAAAAATCTTTGTTATCATCAACAATTTTATTTAAAGTATTCACGATACACTATTTATATTATTCGGACTATTGTCCTCATCTTTGTCTCCATATTTATTACAACGTTTTGGCCGTTGTACGGTCCGGCCTTCTTCCGGTGGTTGGAATATCGAACTGAACCCTTTATTTCACTCACTGGGGTCTTTTAGTTCCACGTGCCATGTTTTAATGGATGTCAATTATAAGTTATTTCCCCTCTCCAAATTCTTCACTGCCTTAACTGAGCATTGAACTCACACTCTTTGGGTCCTGTCACTGGAGATAACCAACGCCTTTATCCACTGTGCATGTGACCTTGAGACAGATATTAACGATGTGTCAAAATCGTGGGTAATTGATTCCCTAAATGTTTGTACAAAAGTTTCTAATAAAATAACATTCCGTATACAGTTGATTTATTTTTGAATAAATGCTATACATTCCATTTGAATCTTATAATTCCCTAATTTTTTTTTTTTTTTTGTATTTTTAAAATGAGGAATAGTGTGCTTTTTTTGTTTCGTTTAAAAAAAAGGATCCATTTTGTCGGCACCTAACTATTGTCTTTCACGCAGCTGTCGAACGAAAACATTAATTGTCGTAAATAAACCCGTAATATATGCGACAGATTGTGGAAAAATCTTCGTCCCAACCCACTACTCAAAATCTGACAAAATATCAACTTTTTTTCGCGACGTGGTTATAAAACATGAATTAAAAAAAAAATAATTAAGAATCCATCAGAATAGTTCCTTTGTGGAAAGTTGATCACCAGTTTGTAGTGAAAATTTTATTTTGTAACGAATGCATTTTTTTTTATCAATTTACCACAAACAATGCGATAATGCCATTAAGGCGCAAGGGGTTACAGGGTGTAAAAGAGAACGAGAAGAGTTTAGAAGAAACTGGAAACTCAATTATAACAAGGGAAACTAGGGATAAACCTCTACTCCTGTTCAAAAGATAGGTGAGGAGTATGAAACGGACAATAGGCAATGGCGAAATGATTGAGAGGAAATTAATTCAGCATTTTCAAAAGAAATGAAATTAAACACGCGGAGGAAATGTTTGCACATATATTTATATAACGAACAACTGAGCTCATAAAAGATAGGAAAGAGAACATTATAGTGGGTCTGGA